TAATCCTTTTCTCTTTAATAGCCCAAGGTAAGACTTAAAAACAGCCTCTCAGAAGGAGCTTGCCATGATTACGCAAATTTCATTTTAGAGTCCAAAGTAATCCAAGACTGGATTGCATTTGCAGCATGCTTTACTTAGAGGGCGTAAATTATCCCTCGAAGATCTTAACATTCCCATCTAGTATTGACCTACCGGCAAGGATAAAAAATGTTGAATTTGTTCCGATTTGAAATACATTGGATGCAAAAATAGTTTCTTCGTCTTTCCTAACGAGTATCAGTGTGTGTGTATCTAAAGTACATCAAGTCAGCAATTAAAATCTTCGTTCCGTTTTATACGAAAGACAATCAACACATAAAAAGTTTTTGCCTGCTTTCTCTTTCCACCCAGGGATGTTGGTTGCTCCCGATGTGTGGCTCTCGTTCTTGACAAAGCAACTCCCTCAAGATCAGAAAGATCAATCAAACTTAGTTATCTATGGATGTCTTGCTGTTGTATCCCTCATGTTTATATTGACAAGAACATATGTATTACTCTCCTGCTTTTTGCGATGCTCTGAGCGTCTTCATGACAAGATGGTCGTTGGCACTTTACAAGCTCCTGTTTTATTCTTTGATTCGAATTCCGTGGGAAGAATCCTTAATCGATTTTCGAAAGATATCGGCTGGTTGGACGAGCAGTTACCAAGGAAATTTCAACTAGCGATCGACTCAACCTTAAATGTGCTTGCATCACTAATTGTCCCAGCTGTTATGAATCCTTGGCTTATTTTCATACTTATACCGTTGATTTCGGTTGCAATATACCTGTCCACGTATTATTTGAAGACATCCAGGGAACTTAAGAGGTTAGCGTCCATAAGTCGTAGTCCAGTATTCTCTCACATTTCGGAGACCCTTGATGGACTGGAGACGATTCGGACCAGAGAGCGACAAAGTGATTTTGTGGATCAGTTTTACAGGTGGGTTTGCCTCGTCTTAATTAATTTTAGACAACTTGCATCTTGGCTTAGTACAATGGATTCTCAGACATTAACTACTTGATTTATAGAGATAAAAGAAAGACGTCATATCGTCATTTCCATAAATAGTTACTGCAAGGTAATAGTATTTCCCTCAGAACAAAACGGGCACCTGACATCCTCGGCTCGATTTCCGCCGATCTCTCGTGTCCGGTCTTCGCTCCTCCCCGAGAAGAGACGAGAAGCTGATAAAGAGCCTACCGTCATCTCAGATAGACGTTGTTTCTGATCCCCTATATGTTCAAATGATCAGAAAGCAATGAATAACCCACTAATTTTGTCCTGTTCACTTGCTTTCTTAAAGACATCATGATGTTCTGAATCAAGCAAACATCTTGGTAATGGCCGGTGGGAAATGGATCAGTGTGCGATTTGAAATTCTTGCATCCTTATTTGTTGGTGCAGTGGCTTTCTCAGCTGTTATTATGTCTCAAGATGCCGGTGAGTTTGTATTATAAAAAGAAGCCAGTCCCTAATTCGATTGAGTGACCGAAGGCGCAAGAAAACCCAAATACTTACAGAGTCTTATCAGATTGAAGGTGATCAGTGGAAGGTGTAGTATATTACATTCGCTCAGAAATGAGGGAAATCAAGGATTAATATTGTGCGTAATTTTAAGTACTAGTGGTCAATCGAGTCGTTAA